TTTATCCATAGTTTTGGTGATCAGATCAGATTTAATAAATTGATGCAGTAAATCGCATCTCTGGGCTCAAAATATTCTCTGCAGACCAAAAGACCCCTACTGATAACGGGTGGTGACTAAAAATGGACAAATTTCAGCACACTTTAGAGTCTTTATTATAAAATAACATGTATATAACGCGTGCTCTGATTGGTCGAAAGTGAAATTTTAACACGGAAAGTTCTTATTTTATAAAACAATTACTTTATTGTTTCTGTGTTTGGATGGCCTGATCCAAACACTTGGGAATGTTGCTCGAGTTAAGAAGAGCGCGCAAAATCACTCTCCTTCGGCTCGTGTTCGCGCGCTTTTCTTAACTCGAGCAACATTCCCGCGTGATCAGGCCATCCAAACACGGAAACCATAAAGTAATTGTATAGTACTAGGCAAACGTTGCCTGTAAAAGTTAAGTGAAAGCTTGTTTACTCGACTATCATATTCGAAATTACATCATTCCGACCGATCTCAACTAACTCTCGTTTCACGCCTAACAATAACTTAATGGGAAGTGATACACCCAAGTACCCTAGCGAATCAAGTGGCTATCCCGATCATAATTTCAAAGCGTATTGTGAGAGTAAATAATAATAATGTACACCGATCTAACTTAATATACCTATGAACGAATGTAGACCGAGTCCCTTGACCGCGCTATAACAGCCAACCCAGGAGCTGCTATCATCCTAACCGGGGACTTCAACCAATTCAAACACCGCCAATTGTGCAATTCGTTTTTCTTAAAACAGATTGTGAAGAATGCTACTAGAGGATCAAACATTCTTGATAAAATATTCACGAACATTTCGAAATTTTACGACGTTCCTGAAGTTGTTCCTCCACTCGGATTCTCAGACCATAACTCAGTTTTACTAAATCTACTGAATCATCGTAGGAACTCACGGTCCTTCCGAATGGTTAGAGATGCGCGTCCCTCCAATCGGAGGTTAATCACTGAAGCCCTATCCAGTGTTAACTGGTCTCCAATGTATCATCTGGGCTCTTGTGACGAACAGTTCCAATATTTCTTTTCCCTTGTCGATGGTATTGTTGATAAATATCTCCCGCTGAAGCGTATTAAATCTGACAGCAGCGATAAGCCCTGGATTACTCCGGAGATAAAAAGATTAATATCGAAACGCCAAGTGACCTGGCGCAGAGGAAACAAGCCTGTTTCGATTCTATAGGAACAAAATTAACAATTTGTGTAGGCGTGCTCGCTCAAAGTGTCAGTCGAATCCACGGAAGTGGTGGTCCGCTGTCAAAAATATTGCTGGCCTTGCCCAATCTAAAAACGTTTCCACACTTGTGTACAACGGACAGCCCTATTCCGATTCGGCTCTGACCAACCTGTTTAATGACAAGTTTGTTGCCGTTGGGAATTCCCTGCCTCCGCTTGCTTGGACGCCCCTGGAAGTCGGTGATTTTCCTCCCGACTTTTACATTTCAGTCTTTTCAGCTGCAGGTCCTGACGAAATCACATCTTGGTTCCTCCGTGAAAATTCCTCGTTATTATGTCGCCCATTAGCATCCATATTTAATGCCTCTTTTCATGATAGTTGTGTTCCATCCCTGTGGAAATCTGCAAATGTCATCCCCTGCCCTGGAAGTCGACTCTGATTTTCGACCGATATCGCTCACGCCCATAGTGAGTAAGATTCTGGGAGTCATTTCCATATAACGGGCTCTTGCAGTCAATCCGCGACCAAATTGATAAACTCCAATTTGGCTCAATTAAAGGATCCAACACCACCATGGCGCTAATACACCTGCTTCATAAATGGTACGAAGCGATGGACACACCTGGAGCCTGCCTACGGATATGCATGCTAGACTTTTCTAAAGCTTTTGACCGTATCGATTTCAACATTCTGATGCAGAAACTCATTAACATGCGCGTACATCCTATTCTAATTAATTGGATTGCCAACTTCCTTACTGACAGAAGTCAGAGAACAAGAATTGGCTCTAATTTTTCGAGTTGGAGAACTACCAACGGAGGAGTCCCCCAAGGAACCAAACTGGACCCCCTTCTCTTCCTCATCATGGTGAACGACTTGAATGTTTCTGACGATACGGTGAAATTTGTTGACGACACCAATATCTGGGAGATTGTCTTGAAGGATCAAGAATCCAACTCGGTCCTACCGTCTCAAATTACAGAATCTACTAAATGGGCTTCTGAGAATAACATGAAACTGAACCCTACAAAAACAAAAGAAGTTCGTGTCGAGTTTTCTCCTCTTGATCCCGGGGCTCTTCCGCCAATCACCATCGACGGTTATGATATAGTTGTGGTCCCGCATGCTAAATTACTTGGTGTCATGATCTCTAAAGATCTTAAATGGATCGAGCACGTTGATTATATCTGCTTGCAAGAAAGCTTCGAAGCGGTTGTAGCCTTTGTTTAGCTACATTCTTACCTAGAACTATCAAAATTAACAACTTGTAAATAAGGAGTGTTTGTAGACATTTTTACTCATATGCATGTAAACCAGTGTAATTCAGTTTTTAACTGCAAAATTGGTATCTTTTAATAAATTGAAATTGAAATATAACACATTTGTTGTTAACAGGGGGCAATTCTCGAACCAGCACTTTTGGCCTACAATGAATTGACGCAAATAATCTTTGGAATAACGGGCAAAATGTGCAAAATAGACAAAACAACGTGATTTGTGCGCTCTCGCATATAAAGAAAATGCCTTTTTGAAGATTTAGATTATTATCAGTGGCCTAGAGAAGTCCAATGGACCTGCCACATTGGAATATATTTGGATATATTTGTGTGACTGTCATTGACAGGAGATGTCCTTGAGATTGCTACACACAATGCTACTCTTTTCAAAGATATTTATAAGGTGTTACAGGGTTCGTACAAAAATTGAAATTGTTTTTGTTCATGTCTTACAGCTATTTGAAATTCATTAAAGTTGCCGTTTGAACAGTTTAACGTCACTTTTTACTGAATTCTATTAAACACCTTCGTTTCAACCCTTTCCTGACAGGCTGTAGCTACGAACCCTGGTGTTAGTACCGTCAGGTGAGAATTTTCTTTGACGTTTCTTCTCCAAATAATGACTAGTATGGCATCGGTATGAACATTCCATTTCTACGAGCAAAACAAACAAAAGAACTAGAAAAGTGCGAAAGCAATTGAGATTTATGTATGAGCCCCCCAATATGAGCACTATATATTGCGTATCTCCACAGTATAATATATTGCGTATCTCCACAGTGTAATATATTGTGTATCTCCACAGTGGTTTCTACATGAAAGATCTTGGTTTTTTCCATCTGACATTTGTATCTCTATTTTCTCTATAAATGAGCCGGCCTAAAACAATATTGACATTCCTTAAGTATGAGGTAACGGTCATTTCGTATGCGTTCTAGTGGTCTCCGCATAGATGTGCCAAACACGTTTTACAGTTGGTTTTAGTTGCCCATTTTTGAGTCCCCACCAGACCCCACCCACATCAATGCCATCAATAATGAGAACAAATACACTGTCACACGGCAATTGCTTGAAGCCTTGAACTTCACTGGAATTCACAAACCATACACAAAGTTAAATGCTTGAATTAACAAATATAAAACATTTTCCGTGTTGATATACAGTTATATCAACACGAGTGGAAATTGGGAAAACGAGAAATTGTGTGTTTCACACAATTTCGAGTTTTCCCAACTTCCACGAGTGTTGATATAACTATATATCAATACGGAAAAAATGTTTTATATTTGTTTTATAATATAGCAATGTCAAAAGCCCGAAGAATAAGAAAAATTTCCGTGTTACAAGCGGCGGAAAATTTCCCGTGTTGACATGGAGTTATATCAACACGGCTCTTAGCCAATCAGCGTTCAGAATTTACAAATGCTATATTATAATAAACGTTAATGATTAGTAAGAATGTAAGGAGTCGTTGGAACAGTTTGTAACACGTCTGCATGTTGACAGTGAGTAACGACTTGTCCACACGTTTGAATCAAGCACTGCAAACACAATCTGATATTAGCTTGTTGAAATGTAACACGTCTGTTACAGGCCAGCGTAACTTTTTTGACGTGTGTAAAATGCTTTCATCCATACAATTTCGTCGGGCAAATTTGGAAAATATTTGAGTGTTTGAGCAGTCAATATGAATAGTAATTAATGATACTTTACAAACGAGGATGAGAGTTGCGAACATAGAAGTAAAGGCCAGATTACACCACAGAACGATACGATAACTTGTATACGCGCGTTGATTGGTCAAAAATTTATCGTTATTTTCCGACTGAAACTAAAATTGCTCGGGTGAGCCGTGAGCGATTTTAGAATCGGTTATCGTCAAACGATAATTTTATCATTTTCGTTGTAGTGTTGACACCAACATAATTTTTTTTGCCAATCATCGCGTGTTTACAAGTTATCGTATCGTTATCGTTACCCCTTCATGCTTAGTTCTTATCGATCATTTTTTTATTGGGATTTGGCACCTTTAATACCTATAAACGGATCACTTCATTTAGCCAATAAGATTATGAGCTTTTTTGCATCGTGATCTGATTGGTTAAAATGAAGGCAGACCAGAAAGTAGACGTATGTTTTTAGTCCTAAGCCCCTCTGTGTCTAAAGTCCTTTGGTTAAATCCCCCTGAATATAAGCCCCTCCGTGTCTAAAGTCCATTGGCCCATTTAGTGGCAGCTCTCTTCCCCTGACGAGTAAAATTATCTGGTGTTAGACAGAGTAAATAATAAAGTAGGGTGCATCTGGGTGCATTGCCACTTAAAGGGTTATTAACAGAGCGACAGCGATTCCAACAGCTCAGACAAGTGACAATAATTAGATTACAGTATTGTAATGTATAGATTATAATTAATAATTATACACTGTATGTTTGTACATATTTCTTTTCATTCATGGTATAGTTTACAGGTACAATAACTATAATTATTACTAAGTAACATCAAATGTTGTTCGGTAAGCCCCATTAAGTCCTCCATGTATAAGCCCATCAATATTTATGGTATAGTTGCATGTTGGGTTTCACTAAAGCTGGGTGCACATACTACGATTTCAATCAGCCAATAGACACTTTGCTTGCTGACAATGAAAACTACTTATTTTCAATGGATTACATTGTTTACCTCGAGTTCAAGATATTGTTTTGTGTCAGGAAAATTCAAGAAGTGTGTATTTATGGTTTTGGTGTTGAAACAAAATCCAGTCTGTAGTACGATATTTAATATGGACTTGGGTACCGTTAGTAGGTGGGACATGGGGACCATTATTGGGTGGGACTTGGGGACTGTTAGTAGGTGGGAATTGGGGACCATTAGCAGGTGGGACTGGGACAATTGGGGGAGAGTTAGTAGGTGGGACTTGGGGACAATTATTAGGTGGGACTTGAGGACTGTTAATATTTAGTAGGTAGAACTTGGTGGGACTTGGGGGAAAGAAAGTAGAAAGAACAGCTCCTAGACCAATGTCAGAAGCGTTCTTTTGCAACACAAATTCTTGGTCAAACTCAAAGTAACATAATATTGGTGCGGAGCAAAGTAATTGTCTATTAAGTTGTTCAAAGGCCGCAGTACATTCATCAGTCCAAACAAAATTATTGCTGTACTCCTTTGAAGTGAGTTTCATTAAATGTTGTGCAACAGTAGCATAATTAAGTCTAGACATGATTTATGAGTATATCTATATTAATGATAGCATTCTGCATTTATTCTATAATGCAACTTTCACTCCCATTTTACCGCCAGCTCACATTGAGTCTCATCAATTTTGAGCTGGTTCAAATTTTGATGCAATTAAGTTAATTAGTGTGAATGCAAGTAACTTCAATCCACTCTCATCAACTATTTTCCTCGTTTGACTTGAAAAGCTTTCATGCAAAAAATCACTTGCCTGTTCTCTCACTTTATAACCAAGGCTTCACAAGCTTGTTTAACAAACGTTCAAGTTTTGAAATTACTGTCAGATTCCACGTGTATGATATTATTATTATAATTATAAAACTCGTCTATGTGTTTAACTTAATACGGCACATTCTATGTTTTTTATATATTTTAAAAGTTTACAAAGTGTCTCACTGACTCTTGAAGTTCTCTTAAAATTTAAATCCTCTGCAGATTTCAAAGCAGTGTACGTCATGATACTACACAAACCACGTTCGTTTAGACTAATAGTTTTCTTTAATGTATTTATCTGCGGACTTCAATGCATCCTGAGTGTCATGGTACCGTACCAACTGGCAAGCTCTTGCAAGAGTTGCCCATTCAAAACCTTGATGTTCATCAGACAATTTTATTCTACATTCCTGGTCAGTCAACTCTGCTAGCCAATATATCACTTTCTTTAAAACGCCTTTCACTGGATATTCCAAAACAATTTTAAAATCCCTAATAACATTCAAGGATTGGCTAGTTATTCCTGCTTCCTCTTCCGTTTCTCTGAAAGCTGTTTCTTCGTCACTTTCTTCTCCCTCGACATGTCCTTTTGGTGGCGTCCAATGATGACTACCATATGATGTTTGAAGTAGAAGATATTCAACAGGATTATTTAAAATACGACGAAATATTATCAAACCCGAAGCTCTCCCTCCTGCACGTGCCGCCATCTTGGAAACAAATTGCCTGTATTTTAGGGTGTCTGTTCGTACCTGCACAGCCTGTACATAAAATCGTTCAAAACATCAGAATTTTCATGAATTTGCAACGAGGAAAGGAAAATAAAAATACAAGTTATAAAAGCAAAGAAAAGCGAAGAGTATGTATGGAAATAATAGTTCAAGAAATTGTTTTAATGCAAACCAACAATCGTACTGGCCTCGTGGTACAATTGAGCAGTCTGGTGTCAGTGGACGAGATCGTGGTGAGCAAAATGTATTTCCAAACCAAAAGTCTCATTTTAATCCCAGGGATCGTCCTTCAAATTTCAACTCCCAGTCTACATATACACAGAGAGATCTGCAACAATATGGAGGTGACTATAATTCACATCAAACTGCAATGAAAGTTGGTCATCAACATGAAAGATTTATTAACAATGCAACAATGGTTCCAACACATAATATAAACTGGGTTAATAGTTCAACCAAGTTCTCATCTGAACATCATAATTCATTTTACCACATGGGAAATAACTCAGTATATAACACCCAAACTGGTAATTATGACGGAAATACTTTGCTGCACGCTATCAACCAGGGAAATAACTCGATATATAACTCTCACACTGGTAATTATGAAGGAAATATTATATCACAAGCTATCAACCAATCACATGCATTATCACATGGTGGTCATTATGGTCAGCCATTCCATCAAAATAACATACCATGTTCAACTATAGAACATCATGGTCATAGAAATTTTCATGCCAACAATGTTTCAATACATCCCAATCAAGTGTCATCACAAACTCATGATAGTCAGGAAGATGCTGACAAAATGTGGTTGAAGCAGTGGCTAGAACAACATCATGTACAAACTACAAATGGTAGCAAACCCAGAAAAACTCTCAAGGTTAGTCAAGGTCTTACACTTACCCACAGAGTAAAATACTAAAGTTTGGTTCATATTTGCAGCTTAATATGTCTCAATCATGATTTTTTTCTGCGTTGGTGTTGTGTACTCAGGTGAATATGATGTTTGTGGTGTTACTCTGAGTGCATATCCACAACGGGCGAGCTTGAAAAATATGCCCGGCCACGGTGGGAATCGAACCTATGACCTTTGGAATACTAGCCCAATGCTCTGCCAACTGAGCTACGCGGTCAGGACGGTTCGAGTAAGTGATATTTTGGAACAGAATCTAGTTCCTTCGACACCAGTGTAATCTTGTAATCGGGCATAATTTTTGGGCATATTTTCAGGCATAATTTTTGGGCATATTTTCAGGCATATTTTTCAAGCTCGCCCGGTGTGGATATGCACTCAGAGTAACACCACAAACATCATGTCTCAATCAGTTTCAATATTTCATGGGTGCCCATCCCCCCCCCCCCGGCATTTGTCGGGCATTTGTCATTTTGGTGAAAAACCGTTGGAAATGCCCCACCATGGGGTCAAAATAGTGCAACAAAATCCCCACCCTTCGACAGACCTGGAAATAGTGGTGGATCCTGGGAACCACGTTCCTAGAAAATTTTTTGATTGCTAGAAAAGATTTTCAATTTTCAATTGTAATGTTTCTAATTTGTGGTAAATAAAATTGACTTGACTTGAAATTTTCTTTGGCAGAAAGTTTAATTAATTTGAAATTTCTTTAAAAAAATTATCCATAAAAATCAACAAAAAGGTTAAAGGTCTAGGGTACAGTCCGTATGTAAACAAAGCCTTTGTTTACATTTCGGTTTTCAAAATATTGAACTTTATTCGACAACTATTTATATATTAATGCCTCTACAGTATAATAAATTATCAAGATACAACAATCAGGCTTTGCAAGAACATAAAATGAAATAAAAACCTAATTAAAATTGCAATAGGTTAAATATTTTTATTCTTTTAGTAATAAGGAGATGTTGTTAACAGTGAAGCCTGTGAAGCACAGTTAATGCTGTTAAACCAACTAAATTTTATGATAGTTTTCAAAGAAAATGTCCCCCCCTGGCTAGGATTTCCTGGTCTGCCGTTCGACTTACATTGATGCAAATGCCCCACCCTTGGGGACAAAATAGAAGTTTCCTGAGGATTTCTGAACCAAAAAATCGAATGCAGGCACTATCTCATCAATATATTTGTATTTAAAATTGATTCTGTAGTTAATAACAAACTCCGTACTCTGTCCATGGTTATGGTAAAACAAGCGACAGATATTTGACTTTTTGGCCTGAAACAAATTCCCCACCCCAGAGCTAACTTGCAGAAAGCAAATGCCCGACCCTGGGAACAAGTACAGTTGACAAACCACGGTGGGCATAAAAGACAGCGAATTTGGCCAAGTACATATAACTTTTTCTCGTTAGTTTGGAATATCACGAAACTCCCTCACAGGATAGAACTTAACATTCCTAGAAATCGTATGTTTTTTGTTTTTCGATTTTGTTACATTTTGGCGGGAAAATGACGTGCCAACTTTGGCGCCAAAAAAATAAACACGAGCTAAGAACATGCTAGTAACTTTTTCGAAAAGATTGTCCTGTAAGGATCTCAAAATTGTAAAAACATTAAAAATACAACAAGGCAGTGCGAAGATATGGCGATTCAAAGTTCGAAAAAAATCTATTTTTAGTAACAAAATGGCTGATTTTTCAATAAAAATAGAACTTTGAATCGCCATATCTTCGCACTGCCTTGTTGTATTTTTAATGTTTTTACAGTTTTGAGATCCTTATAGGACAATCTTTTGGAAAAAGTTACTAGCATGTTCTTAGTTCGTGTTTAATTTTTTGGCGCCAAAGTTGGCACGTCATTTTCCCGCCAAAATGTAACAAAATCGAAAAACAAAAAACATACGATTTCTAGGAATGTTAAGTTCTATCCTGTGAGGGAGTTTCGTGATATTCCAAACTAACGAGAGAAAGTTATATGTACTTGGCCAAATTCGCTGTCTTTTATGCCCACCGTGAACAGTTGACAATGCCCGACAAATGCTTGGGGGAGGGAGGGAGTGGCACCCATGGAATTGATTGAGACATTACACTGTGATAGGTTAAATATTTTTATTCTTTTATAATAAGAATATGAGTAATTGACTAGAATGAGGGCCTGATACATCTCTGTCTGGCCACATGTAGTAAATACAAAATCCAGCTTTTCACCTAATTGGTCTATCACACCAAAAGATTTTAACCTTTCTTTTGAATTAGTTAAACAAAAAATTTAATCTGCCTTTCAAATTAGTTAAAAGGCCACTCGGGGCCTACGGCCCTCATGACCTTTTAACTAATTCTCGAGACTCTATATTGCATAGAGCACATGTGACCATGCTCTAACCATTACATAGCATTTGTGTTCCCTTTCATAATTAGCATGCGTTCACATTTATATGGCTTTATTTTCATTTGTAGGTGTTTGCTTTTATTTGCTTTTGCTCTAGATTGTGTTGACTTTCACTTGCTTAATTCGCTTTAAAATTTAGTTTTTGTTTTCATTTGCCTTTGTTTTCATCAGAAATCATTATAATTATTTTATATTATTTAATTTAATTTTATTTAATTTAAAAAATAAAATTATGTCAAGGGGCCACAAAATACGGTGTTTTTCAGAGGTCTCAGTACATTTTTAATAAAAAACTTTTTTGAAAATAATTTTGAAACAAATGATAGCGATATTGCGTTTATTAAACGACGTTTCGATGCTACAGCGTGCATCATTTTCAAGTTATAGCACAGAATAGAAAGTAAGACAAAGTATTCTGGTAGACAAAGCATTCCATAACGAGTGGTTCGATAAGACATATCATCTACAGCTCGAAAGATCGGAATTAACCAACTTGTTGAACTTGGCCGTGAAGAACCAACTTTTCCAGTTAGATGGTAAGCTGTACCGGCAGGTAGACGGCGTTGCGATGGGATCACCACTTGGCCCCTTGATGGCGAACACCTTCATGTGTTCGATTGAACAGAATCTCGTTGACAACAACCGTATGCCCTCGTTTTCCCACCGTTTTATAACAAACGTACTTGCAGGGAGGTGAGTCCGGGATTGGACGCACCGAGGGTGGCTGTACTCGCTTTTTCGTGAGGGTGGCTGTACTCGCTTATATTCGTCGATGTTTTGTGAACATTTTCCCGGCCAAAAAAATCACTGGGCAAGAAAATACTTCTTTATCTACGTCTACATTACCTTTACTGCATTTTTTCTTTGGTTTTTCTTTAGTCTCAGTATGTTAGTCACCGAAAAAAGTTCTTTAAAGTTTAGGTTTATCGCCTAAATCTTGTCCGCCATATTTGTTATTGTTATTGCAACGTAAGCAGTTTAGCGGGTGAGTTCGGGCGAAAAGCAGGTGAGTTCGGCAAAAGCAGGTGAGCTCGACGACAAGCTCACCTGCTCTAAACCAATCAGAAAGCCGCTTTTAACACAGGTATGGGATAATGTTGATGACACCATTACCACCCAACGAAGTTTAGCATCGTCAGGAGATTTTCTTAATACCCTCAACAACTGCCATCCATCCTTGAATTTTACAATGGAATGTGAAGTTGACGGGAAGCTGCCTTTTCTTGGTATGGAAGCGATAAGAACGCATGGCCATATCGAAACGAAAGTCTACGTTAAACCAACAAATACCGGTGTCACAGGAGATTCGCCCCTCCCAGGAGTTTCGCCCCCCCTCTCAAAAGGGGGGCGATATTCCTAGGAGATTTGCCCCCCCGGGGCGAATCTCCTAGGAATATCGCCCCCCCAGGGGGGGAATCTCCTAGGAATATCGCCCCCCTTTAGGAATTTTGCCCCCCCCATATAAATTTTGAATTTTTGATCTAAAAACAAAACGATTGCAAGTTGAAAAGATTTATTGTGTGATTTATTCATTTATTTATTACAAGGAGACAAAATTACATACACATTTTAGGCTTCTTAGCAGCTGGTAGTGTGCACACTGCACAGTCTGCCACTCATTTGAGGTACTTAGACTAGTGTCATATTCTACACATCTAAAGTGGAACCATTGCCCACAGAGATCGCATAAAATCATGTTGTCGTATTCTTCTGACAGTTTACATTCACATAACGTATTATAAAAACAATCGCTTGCAAATTTTATCAATACTAGTGTTAACAATAGCCGCCACAGTAATCACTTGCTAACAATAAACTATAGGATTAACAAAAAATCTATGGAATGTGTTGGGAAGCGTATTGACTATTGCCTGTTGAATCTTCAACTTTCCATGTCAGTGTTAGTGATGTAATCTTGATTCTTGACTTCCGCAAAGAAAATTGCATTATATATGTGGTGTGGTTTATTCAAATAATTCCATGATACTTTGATACATGATACCATGATTTTATTAGTGCCTTAAACATTTGAGAATGTAACTCTGCAAAACTAAAAGCTTTTCTGTCTTTAGTCTTTCAGTTGAAACGTATATTATTGGAGTATTGCCTATTGGCAAGTTCTACCCTTCGCTTCTGAGATTTACAAACTATATTGAAATAATGCAAGTAAAAAATAGTGACAACTTATAAGCCACACATTTTCCAATAACGACAAAACGTGGATGCAAAACAATACCAATAATTACAATAACCACCACGGTGATTACTTTTTAACAATGAGTTTAAGGATTAACACTGAAAATGCAAAATATGCATGGTGTGCTGTGAAGCGTCATAAGTCCTAATGATCTACTGTAACTGTGTAAGCCCTTTAGATACATGTAACTGTAAATTTGTATTCTTACATGCAGGGCTTGAAATAATAAACGTTCCCAAAGTTCCCGATCATGGTGATCGGCAGTCATGACTTTCCCTGCTTTTTTCAGGTTGGAAACCGAAACCCTGCTTTTGCCGATCATAAGCAATTAATTCCTTGCCGATCGGTGATCGGTTGTTATTTCAAGCTCTGTCTTAACAATTTTGAATTGATATTGATTTCAAATTATTAAAGCCATGTAATAATTATCCCATGCAACTGTTAGGAAGGGCTAAATATTGAACGGAGGACGAAAATCACAAAGAAAAGGTGAAGTTCTAAAGGGGGCGAATTTCCTAAAGGGGGCGAAATTCCTAGGATTTTCGCCCCCCTGGGGGGCGATATTCCTAGGAATTTCGCCCCCCGGGGGCGAAAATGTAGGGGGGGCGAAAATCCTGGGACACCGGCCTCCTTCTCCACTACCAGAGCCATGTCGATCGTAGATATAAAAGATCATTGATTATTACCATGCTAAACCGTGCATTCCGTTTGTCGTCATCCTGGAAACACTTTGTGGAAGAGTGTGATCGTCTAAAGAGCGTTTTTGCCAATCTACGATATCCTCTCAGATTCGTTGACACAATCATCTCTGAGTTTGTAACCAAGAAATACGCAGAAATGAACAGCTCGATTCCAACTGAGTATGTGAAAAGAGATGTGATTTGCGTGGCCCTGCCGTTTAAAGATCAGGAGTCGTCTGATATCGTGCGAAGACAACTCGCAGGCCTTGGTTCGGTGATTGGTAGAACATTAGAGCCAGTATTTAAAAGTAGGAAGATCAAAGACGAAGTTAAAGTTCACGAGATAAAAGCACCAATTGTAAATCAACAACGCGTTGTATACAGAATATAAATGTGATCTGTGCGATGCAGATTATGTTGGCTATACTAGTCGGCACTTACATCAGCGCATTGATGAGCACAAGCGGTCGGTAATCGGGAAGCATACGAGAGAAGATCACAAAGAGGATGCGTCGAGAATTGAAGGTTGCTTTTCAATTCTTCGAAAATGCCAAGGAAAGTATGAGTATCTTCTATACGAAATGTTGTATATTAAGGAACTATCGCCGTCCTTGAACACTCAATGGGACTCGATTCGTTCAAAACTTTATACTTAGTCCTATAATTAATGGGCTTTATGTTTGTTTTGTTTAGTATGTTTGTTTGTTGTTTTTTGTGTACATGTTTGATACATTTATGAAAGACAGAAATATGTTTAATCTGTTTTATGTTTTTTAATGTAATTTATTACGTAATATAAATTTAAATTTTGCATGCTTACGCAATAATTTGCTAACGTGACACGAACGGTTTAATTAAAATCAACGCAATATTTAACAATTATTCGCCGAAGGCAAGGTGATTATCGGTGAATAAAAACCGAGACGAAGTCGAGGTTTTTATTCACGATAATCACCGAGCCTGAGGTGAATAATTGTTTTAGTATAATTTCATAGGTGATTATTTGGAAAAAATAAGAAAATACACATTTCTTCGTCATTTAATTGACAAAAAGGCTTCGGCCGCCATTTTGAAAATCGCTTAGGTGATTATCGCGTAATAATCACCTCAACGGCAACCAATCAGCGTGGAGAATTTTCAATAATCACCTATGTAATTATACTAAATGTAATTACTATTACTTGAAAATGATGCACGCTGTAGCATCGAAACGTTGTTTAATAAATGTAATATCGCTGTCATTTGTCTCAGTAAATAGGTGTTTTATTATATAGCAAGTGCCAAAGTCTCAATAGTTTTCCTGGTATTCCAAAACTGTAATAAAACTTTTGAAAGAACTTTGCTTTGAATTTGCTGTTTGACGTGAACGGCTCGTGCCTCATTGTTGTCTGGTTGCCTCCTTGCCACAGCATGCAGTGAACATGACGTTTTGTGGACTGGCACGTGATACGGTTTTGACCAAACAGCAAACAGGAAAATTGAACTTTGACACTTGCTATAAAATAAATATATTTGTTATGTAGTTCGTGTCAAAGTTCAATTTTTCTGTTTGCCGATTGGTCAAAACCGTGTCACGTGCTGGTCCACAAAACGTCATGTTCGGCAACCGGTCCGCAATCAAACATTTATTGACCGGTCAATAATAAAATGGGCGCAATACGCATGCGTGTCAACCATGAAGTTCCAAAGTTCATTTTTAAAACTTTTTTCTAAACATTTACGGCGTTCCATTTATCCAGTTTTGGTTTCAAATTAAGTTCACTCCAATAACCGGTGAATTATTCATACTTTGACACTTATGTACTACAAAACACTTATTTACTGAGACCTCGGGAAGGAAGTATGTTTTGTGCCCCTCGACCGCCGTTGTTACCCTCGGCTTCGCCTCGGGCAACAACGGCGGTCTCGGGTCCACAAAAACACACTGTTTCCCTCGGTCTCAGTAAATAAGTGATAATTATCACACACTGTGCTTTTATCAGGGCGATAACAGGGTGACATAAAAACGATATGTCACTGATATCGCTTTTGTCACTGATATCGCTTTTTGTCCCGCTACCTTACTAATTTTGCATTGGGGCAATGATTAATATTCTAATAAATTCTGATCGTGATAAAGGCACAAGTATATGATAAACAGGTTATCATAATCAGGACGTTTTTGCGCTCACTCATGACATTTATCATATCGTCCCTCAAGCAATAAAACTGATATTAGATAGCTTAAGATCTACGACGTCGATGTCAGCTAGGACGTCAGGGTTAAGCAAAGGACTGGGACTAGGACGTCGTCCTAAATAAGTAGATAGGGACCTTAAGCAAACAGGACGGCAACGCAACGACGACGGCTATTCACACAATGATATTCTGATCTCGTACAAAAGAAATGAATAATTAAAAGCCCCACGGGAGTTACAGACGTTCTATTAAGGCTTTTTACAACGGCAAACGAGAGATTTTCACGTCTCGTGTACAACGCAAACATGTCAAGACGCGACAAGTGAAACTACAAATTTGCTCAGCAGAAGCGTTTTTAACCATAAAGCCTTTGTTTTAATCTCTTCAAACTGAACTCAATTCGTATATACAGGCAGTGGATAATACACAACAACTCTTCTTCGCAATAATTTATTTGAAGAAGTTTGTTTTGGCTGTCGTCGTCGCGTTGCTGTCGTACATGCTTAAGGTCCCTGATATCTCAATATCTACGACGTCAAATATCTAGGGCGGCAAGCGGAAGTAAATTGGTAATAGTTCTTGAATTGTCCATGTGTCTCTCTCAATTTGCTCGACGTCCACCAAACGTCGACAACCTCACAACAAAAGCATAACAAACTGTAAAGGATTCACACGTCTCTTTTAAATTCATTTTCAAAAGGATGTAAATGTTCATAGTTTAAATGTCGACGTCGTGAATCTTAAGTGGAAGTTTATTTATTTAGGACGTCCTAGTCCCAGTCCTCTGCTTGGCCCTGACGTCCTAGCTGACGTCAACGTCGTAGATCTTAAGCTATCTATTGCCTCGCCCCTCATATGATAACCTATATGTACATGCAATAATAAGTTGTTGTTTGCTATAGCTTAACTTGCTCAATCTTGTGGCAATGAACAGGAAATTTCTGTCGGCTCCAGACTGTGGCAGCTAATTAACCAAATGATGGATTAATGAATGAATCCTTTTTAGTATCCTTTGGGAACATTATTAATTCTTATTTAGTTCATTTGTGACACATTTGAAGAAATATAGATCAGATTTTACTGTTAAGATTTTTCCGGAGGATTGTGAGATAATTACAACGCCTACCTTCAGAAAGGTTGGAGGATAGTCTCACTAGCATGGCCAAATATATGGTCACTATCTTTTGATATGCCCATGCATAACTGAAACTGTCAACATGCTCCATTGTTCACTAACTGAGCTATATGGGGCTTTGGTGGCGTGATCATCAGAGCAAGCATCTTTCACCTATGAGATGGTGCGTTTAATTATTTTGTTGCCCACTCATATGAAAAGAGTTGCGACTCTTTGTTCATCAATGCTCTGCCTATTGAATAGTCGTGGATTTTCTCCAGGTCCAACCACAAGGAAAGTTGACTGGGTGGGTTAGGATAAACAAAGTTAAGAAAGTAATCACAATTGTTGTAAAAGATAAAATACCGGTAGTCTAGGCTAAGTACACAGGAAAAAAACCCTAGCCTGTAACAATGTTGATGAAAACAGGCCTGAACAATATTTTGCTGCCCATATTGTTCCTGGTTGTTAACAATATTGTTCAGCATTGCTTAGGTGAACAATGCTGAACAATATTGTTAACAACCAAGAACAATATGGGCAGCAAAATATTGTTCAGGCCTGTTTTCAACAACATTGTTACAGGCTAGGCGTTTTTTGCAGTGTACAGTATGTATGTAATTAGATAAGCATAATACTTGATGTAAAGTGCATTTGATAATATCCACATAGAAATTTGCGCTATGGAAATGTATATGAGTTCTTGTGGCCAATTGAATTCCTTCCACACTGGTAAACGTTAACCATTCACATAAAATATACAAAATGTGATACCACTTTGCAACTATGTACTATATTGCAGTAATATGGTAAGTTGCACTCACAAAAGTTGCCTGTACAATTATACCCAGTCAACTCAACCAAAGCTGAACATTCTCAACTTCCCAGCATGAGCATTCATGGTTTTGTTAAAAAATGTTTACCAGTCCTGTTTATTGAGCTATAATTATAATGTTTTGGACGTATCGTGATGTGTACTTGTATTAACGTAACATTTAATGATGTGTTCATTTATATTGTTTGTATAGATTAGTGAAGCACAGAATCTTTTTCAAAGCTATTTAAGTCTTAATAATCAGTTAAAAGAACATTTTGATGAGCTGCAAAAGAACGTTGAGTCAGAACCTGAGAAATGGAACAATGTTCTGGCCAAAGCTGAAAAAACCAAGGTTAGTACAGGAGTATTTCTCATTTCATTAAAAAATATGTCTGACCTTGCAAACTCCTTAGATATGCTATTGTGTACATATATTTCCTAAGAGATCCCCAGTGCTGCTTATACTGGACCCCTACGAAACTTAGTTAAGTCTATATTTTTACATCCCTGCATGTTAATGTTTTTATATTCTGTTTTATCAGGCACACATAAATGGCGATTATAGGAAGGCCAGATATCACTAACCACCGGTTTGTGATTTTCCCAACTTTTCTAAAAATGCTTGAAAAACTGCGAAACCACAGATATATGCATGGACGTGCAAATTATAAACAGAAACTTTATAAATACTCAAATTTAATCTGGGTTGCACCAATCAATGAGCAATTTTAGAAAGCTTGAAAAAATCATGAGGGTAGTGATTTTTCAACCTTTTTGAAATTGTCCGTTGATTGACAGTAGCGTAACCAACCCGACGATTTAGTCCCGCTATATGCAAATATTTTCATGTTCATTGACTGTGAAAACAATCAATTTCTAAAGAAATGAATAATGATAATAATTTTGAATTTGCATAGCGGGACTAAATTGTCGGGCTGGCTACGCCACTGTTGATTGATATAACCCAGATTAAATTTTAGGGTCTATAAATTGAAGTCTCTTGTGAAGTCCATATATCTTATTGACATATAATCCGGCCGAGTATTTTACGAATTTCGAACGTAGAAAAATGCGAGAAACGAGTGACGCTCTCAGATTTTTCGTGTTCTCATGACCTTATTTGGTAAAATCACGTCATTGTCATACAATAAATATCCGTATTTTAATACCGCTTCAAGCATTTTTACAACGGTCGAAAAAATAACTGTGGATAGCGACCTTCGTACAACCTCCGCAGTTTATTTGATACTCTGTATCAACTATTATCAAGTTCAACCTCAAAATGTTCTTAAACACTGTGGTTTTATTTCTGTGTAGGAGGAGATCACGTCTGTTCAAAAAATTTTGAACGACCCGCATATCATGCAGGATCTTCAGGAAAAAATTCATAAACGGAAACAGAAACGAGTAAGTACATGATAGGATGATAAAATGGCGGCCATGTTGGTGCCAAATGCAATGAAAGATACTGAGATTTTTTTATGAAGTATCACCAACATACATGCCGCCGTGACGTAACGTGCAATAGACTCACTGTGCCGTGTGTGTCAAAGCATGTAAATACATCACCTCCCTGTCCTTTCCCGTGTGGAAGAAGAGAAGATGTCTGGCCAAAGAAAATATGATTTATTGTAAGCCATATATCCTTGACAAGGTATTTTAATCCTGTAGTTAATCCTGATGTTTGAATGTAATCTATACATCCTGTATGTAATGTTTACAAAGTATAGCAACATATTGTATAGTGCCTAAATACTATGTTGGCATCTATCCAGGAATGGACGAAATTTTGATGAACTAGTGGAATTAAATAACGCGATACAGCTCCATGCACCCATCCCGCCTTATATAAAAGATGCGTTTATTTACCTACTTAAACTTCCGTTCTTGCGTGGATGTCTTTGCGGCTGCAGAAATTCGCCACTGCTGTAACCGTCACCCTGGTGTGGAACTATATTTATTAAGTTGTAAATTATTTTATGTTGAACTTGGCAGTTATGGTTAAAAAATCGCCGAAGACGACGTTATTTGGAGAAACAGGAGGATGAAGAGAGAAGGAAAGTTCTACATGAAAAAATTGATCTTTGGCAGAAAGAAATCAGAGAGAAAGATCTCGCTGCTAGAAAGGTAGTATTTATAAATAAATTTTGTTTTTTGTAGTGTATAACTTGACAGTACAAGGGAAGATGAACACTACTTAATAAACTGCTGTTGCAGTTCGAGACGAAGGGATATGGGGCAAGCAACCCACAATAGCTTTTGCAGCAAAATAATATTTGCAACCTGCCTTTGATCACATGTTGCACTTAATTAAACTGATAGGTTAAATAATCACTCATAATAGTAAAAATGCATTTGGAGCATTCCAGGGGGGGGGGGGAGTAGAAACAGTGTACGTCGTTGAATTTGTAAAATAGGTATATTATTTATTTATACGCGAACAGAGCTCTCAGCTCTGCGCAATGGTGTTTGATATGTACAGTATAGCAGTAGTCGTTCTTAGAATAGTCTTGTACCTGGCATGTTGGTGACACAGTGGTTTATAGTGCTTTTCACCTCTGGGACTGGGTTTTGATTCCTGTATACTTTGCAGTTGTCTGATTATAATTTCACCTCTAGCACATGTGAGACGAGTTTTCCAGTTTGACTCTCCCAAACACCGCACTTTCCAACTTCAATAACACTCGACCAAAACGAGATGACTCCATACTGACCTCAAGCAATAACAGAAATGATAGACTTTAGTTTTAGGTTTAGAACGGCTGCACACCAGTATTTGCATGATATAATGTCGTTTTATATGGAACTGTAATGTTTTTCTACTTTATTGCATTATTTTTCTCTTGTGTTTTCAGGCGGCATCTTTAAAACATGAAGCAGGTGGTGTGTTGGGGGAAGTAAGACGTAAACTGCAAGATTGTCACAAATTACAAGAATTAACCAAATCTCTTGTGAAGTTACGAGAACTTAGAAAATCTGAGGGCGAGAAGAAAGGTCTGTCCAAATATAGAAATAGGAAACAGTGTTAAATAAAGAAACAACAAAGGAAAAGATGGCATTCTTTTCTGTGTCAAATTGAAAAAACTGTCCTCGCTGAATTGGAATTTACCTTCTCACGGGGGCCCATATCCGCCATTAGTATGGTGCTGTCTTCCCACGCCAGATAATTTAATAGCGAATTTAAAAAATGTGAAAAGCGACTTTTCAAAGTTGTAACTGTAAATGTACCGTTATACGCACAACTATTTATTGGGACCCCGTTATTGGAGATCTCTGTGGTCAGTGCCTGCCATCGCGTACTTGTCATTATCTTACAAATGTATGTTTGTATTGACTGGCGAATCTTATAGATAAAATTTCTGTGATAATAAGTTGCATTTCACGGTACGTACACTCTCAGACTTGGGAGAGGCAGTACCACACAATGGCGGATACGCCCAGCGCGCGAGAAATGCTAATTGAATCAAATTATCTAAATTACAAATTATCTATTACGATATTGGCAGCTTCGACAGTCTCTGTCCTTTGATTAGCTGAACTCCACAAGAAGTGTATAGAAAAGAAAATCAACCAACAGATATATACTTGAACTGACTTAACCTCGTAGCCAGGGGTGGAAAAATAGGCGAGCTCGCGAGCACTGCTCGCAGGAAATGTTAAACAGCTGCAGGAAATTCGTTTGAATGAAGATTTGCTATTGAAAATTTGAATGAAACCTTAACACCCATGTCCCACTATGGGCGCAACAACATATGGTTGACAGACATTATTCCTTGAATTTAAAACCATGGTCATCTTGAACACCATATGTTTATGCACATGCAAGTCTGCAGGAAATTTTTGTCTCCAGGTTATATGCTCCCAGGAAGAAAATTCTTTTTTCCTGCCCTGCTCCTAGCTCAGTTGTTATAGAGGCTAGCAATTTATTTCCGTAGAATTATGTATTGGACCCCGTTATTGGAGAGTGCCTCTGCGGTTAGTCCCTGCCTGTGTTGTATATAAATTTTGTCTAGTCTAATTTATGTCTGTTATGTTTGGCGAATCTTGTAAATAAATAAATAAGTCAAATAGGGGGATGCATGTTCTATTCCCACCGACATCAAATGATTTTTCAGCGCGCCCGATGTAGAATAGCCTGTGTGCATGCAGACTATTATGATTACAGCATAATACAGTCTGTACGCAAGCTAGAACTACTCGGAATAGCATCATCTAATATAAATTCAGAAATTGATTTAGGATGAATAGAACCTATGCAGAGAACCTATGATCTGTACCAACGTTATTAAATTAATAATATTTCATGATCTAGGTGTTTATCCCAAGACATCATCGAGTGAAGATGACAATTTCACGACAAGATGTGAATATGTTGACAAGATGGTTGATGGAAGGATTAAGACTTACGAAGAAGAAGAGAAAGCTTTGGGAGTGATCATCATGGAAGAGGAGGGAGAACGAGAGAAAAAAGAAAAACAACAAAGACTGGAAGAAAAGGCGCTGCTTAACTTAAGTAAAGGTAACGTTCTAGGTTTTATGATTGAGCTTAGTAAAGGTTTATAGATTGTATATTTAACTATTGTATATTTAACTTAACTTACATATATGTTGGGTTTTATATTTAAAATGAGAAAATACTGGAACATAAAAAGTCAAAACATTTAGACAATTAAAGAGAATTTTGACGTTTTAGATGTTTCGGATCTACTTAGACATACTGGATGCAATGTAATAAATAACTTTATGAATACGATAAAAGTATTAATTCTAAACATGTGTTGGCATATTATAATTACAGTTGTTTTAAGTCTAGTGCTATTAAATAATTATGTTTTGTTATAGGCTTTCTGTGGCTCATTCTTTATAAGGAAATATATATTTTTAAAAATCATTGAGTACATCACATTTTATACTTTTCAGAAGCTGATCCTCTCGCAGAGTTTCGTCGTTATTATAACCAAGCAGATGAAAGTATTCAATATCTCATTCAAATTAGGTAAGCAAAATTTAGTTATATTTAATAAATATCTAATGCAGACAATATATTTTTTATTCCTCTAAAGTTTTATGAAAGCTTGTTCTGCCCCATGCAGTATTTGCGTCATTGCAAGCTAACTACAGTAGTCCAGGAGATCAACCTCGTTTCCAAGGCTTTACGTGCCATTATAACATCGCGAAGCTTTCTTTTCCTTTTATTCTGCGCAGAGGCTTTAACCACCGGGTGAGAGAAACACACGCAGAAGAAAAGGGAGTGTTTACTTTCTGTAAAATTCTACAGGCTCTACATGCATGCAGTTTAGAAACGGCTACTTATATAACATGAGTTCTATTTTAGGAGAGAATGGGACATATTCATCACATAATTGTAGCTGTTCCTTATTTCGTTATAACCAGTCATTAAAACATTGTTTCATGAAAAACATGATTTATCTTCCATCGCCCCTGACATAATTGTATAGATCTATATTAACCAGTCATTAAAACATGATTTTAAAAACATGATTATCTTCCAGGAGAGAATGGGATATCTACCTCACTCCTGACGTGACTTTGGGCAGCAGAGTCCCGGATGAAGACATCACCGCTGGCCCTCCCACAAGCAGTTTGTGGGCGTCTGTTCTAGAGGTATAAACACCAATATAACAATTTAATATATTTTAACTCGGTTTGTTTCGTTTTCTCGAACAACTATGTTTTACAGAGTCAGAATGACAAACTGAGTGTTCTTTCTGATTTCAGGCTGGCGATGAACAGAGCAAGAATTTAAAATAAACGGACCAATATAGAAACGACGGACCCACAGTCTATGGCCATGGGCAATGGCATGCCATGCCAATCATTTGATGGACCTACTTCATAGATCACCTACTTTCACCCTTAAGGACCTGGTGACCATGAAGCTCAATATAATCGTAATGTTGCTGTACAACAAGCATTAAGTAGCAACGCAATTTTAAAAAAAATATTGCAGGTTGAAATGAGATGTCAGACAAGAATTTAAATAACTTATTCGTTTCGAAATAAAGTTTTTCATGACCGCAGGCGATTAAACTCGTTCGATTTTCTGTGTACTCGGAACGCAATTTTTTAGCGTGTCATCAATTAGCCTTTCTCACGCCGCCATTTTTGGGGTACTGCCTTTTCCAAATCTGAGATTGTACGCAGTGAATAAATGATTTGCAGAACTATAATTGTGAGTATAATCATTATAAGTTAATTTACAGCTAAATATTTGAAAAAAAATGTTTTCACATCGCTTAGATTTTTCACGTCGTTTTCAAAAAGGTACCCCAAAAATGGCGAATTTGGCCTTCATGAGAAAGGCTAATTGCAAGCCTTCATGAGAAAGGCTAATTGCAAGCTAACGGGGATAAAATATTGCTTGCTACTTGCAATGTAACGCTATGTCTTTGCAGATTGCAGCAAAATCACGTCCTGTAATGGGAAGCACATAGAAACTTGCCATCACGGTGTAGCACCACGAAAATGATTACCTGGCGAGCACATGCCATTGATGGTACTGTGTGTTTCGCTTAAAATTTGCTAGCAGAATTTATTCATAACATTTACTATAAAACAAGATCCTTGGGTTAGATAAATTGGTGGGTTTTTTAGCACCAAACAGTAAGGCCCAAGCAGCCAAGCTTGCCGTCCGCACAGCATACGTTACTGACTAATATGTGGTGGATAATCCAAGTGAGCATATACAATTTATACTATAACTGTTCGACGTCGACATTTAAATCAACTGTGAATGAACTTATATCATTGTATAAATAGTTGATGGATTGTGAAATAATGTATTTCGCAAATTTTCTGGAATGGGACTATGATCCTCATTGATATGTTCTAATATCAATGCAGAGATATCAATGGCTTGATCATTTGAATTTTAATGAGATGCTACCAAGGCAACGAAGCCATGTGTTGTTTATATAGTGTTTAATAATGTCAAGTGTTTGATAATGCCGAGTGTTTTTATACTAAATCACTGCGACTAAATCATGACTACTTTAGAAGATCCTCGCAGTTATGTTGCATCTAAACCTGTATCAGGAATATCTCACAAAGGTCTTCATGTATCAGCGCGGAGTGCTCTGGTATACACATGTAGTCTACCAGATAGACGTGCAGTTGCCAAGCAAAACTATGCAAGACGAAATTATCAAATGCAGAAATGTGGGTACAACTCTGTCTCGTATAAACCTTATAAAACTCTGGGGAAAGTTTTTGTCAATGATAAAAAAATGATTTTGGTTGCACTTGGACAGAAAGATGATGAAATTAATGGCAGTGAGGTACTGTGTTTGATTTTGTTTTCACAAACTTTTATCACTTCATTAAGTCATTATCGGCTGCTCATTTTAAATTTGATATATTAAACTCAATTAGTGTTTGTACCGAACCTGCAGTATCACACACGACTAGCTTACTCCTCGAAAATTTACTCGTAGTCGTGTATTGGAAATTGATATGGCTTAGTATAATTTGATACATTGGAAGTAATTGGTACATTACAGTCAGTATTACAAAAAAGTCTATAGGCCTGTCATTATAGACCAACCTATAGGTTTTTATAAGTAATTGGAACATTTTCTATAAGTGACCTATATAGGGATGCCCATATAAACATGTAAAGGAGCTCTATTGGTGCCTAAAGTCTTCTATAGGGAATTCGAACATTTCCTATAATTTGGCCACCTACAGACTTTTTTCCTAAAGGACATATATGGTAATATATATGGCCCACTCACGGTTAGTGAATGTCTTTGTGGTTAGATTGAAAAACTATCACACTCTGACTGTTTTGGCAACTTTTATATGGTAGTACATATATGTAGTACTTAGCTAGGTGCAGGATTGACAGCGTACATTAATTGTCGGGTAGATGCAGATTGCAAAAATGGCAAATCATTGGGTCATTCCAAAAAACATCCATACCTTCCCCACAGAGGAAATTGGAAGTTAACCCCTACCCCCTTCGGATGTCCTAATGCACTTACTATTATCAGAAACAAATCTTTCTCCCCTCCCCCTCTGGACAGCAGAAAATTTGTGGGAGAGTGTGTATCTTTTCTGGAATGACTCATTCTCAGTAAAAACATGTTTCATAGGTGAGTAATTTATTTATACAACTTCAAAATGTACATTTTGTTCAAACTCTAAAACCTGGCTGGAAATCATTTTACAATGTGTGTTTAATTCTTTCATATATTAAAAAATGCCTAAAAATTCATGCATGCAAGTAAAAATCTAGGTTGCTTTTTTGCTGTAGCTCCCACCTAGGGAGATGTCAAGGAGGCTAGTTTCACCAAATTAGAGACCGGTCATTAATTACAGGGCAGGGGGCTGGTGGAAATGAAAAATTAGATGCTAAAATTTTGTTGCCCCCCCCCCTTGAGGATAACACAATTATATACTTGACTCCACATGCAAATAACAAAAGGCACATTCGTAATTTAAATTTCTTATAAAGTGAAGCCACATTTAATCATACTGTATGCCCTATCATAGTTATACTCATTGGGAAAAAACATCTGTGAGATATTGCTTTGGGGGGCCCATGAGGCGCCATGATAGTTGGCGCCGAGTGGAAAAATTTGAAAATATGGAGTCTCTAGATCGTTGGAAATGCCATTTTTATCTGTAGGTTTTATGGTACAACAGGGTCATTCGACTCATCCGGGGCAGGTACTTATATTACACAAAAATGTTTGCCCCCTCTTTTTCATGCACAGGTCACTGACTTCCCACACACACACACACACACACACACACACACTTTTCCACCAGAATATTATGTCCAGCTTATTCAGAGGAGCATGCATGCATGATCCTGGGTTTTGCCGATCACTCAAGCTCGACCAACCATGCGCAGTCTCATATACTTTTGAAATTTAATTACTATTTTGAGTTTAACCCATTGAGTGGCAGCATGCACTCTCCTCTTGACAAGTAAAATAGTCTGGCGTTAGACAGGGTAAAATAATAAAGTAAGATGCATCAGGGCATGCATATTGCCACTTAAAGGGTATTGTATGTGAGACTTGGGGGGGGGGAAGACTTGGGGGGGGGGGGAATTCAACGTTATTTTAAACTGCTGATGCTTCTTCATGTAATTTTAAAGCAACATTTCCTTGCAAACGTTTAAATTAAACAGAATGTAGATTTACGTGTGATCCCAGAAATACAACCTGAAGGTAATAAGCAGAAGTCAAAGATTGATGAGAATGAAGAGAAACCAGAATGGAAATTAACCAGCGTAAGTGATTCGAGTTTGCTTCAGTGTGCATGAAACAATATTTTAATTCATTTGGTTTTCTATACTTGGATATTCATCTATGCTATCCCATTTTCTTGTATCCAGAGACTTACCCAGAGTATGATTGTTCAAAGGTTTCTAGCTAGGTGCCTGCACCTACATGTAACCTGTGAATGGGCATTCCCACAGAGTCTCTGGGCACGAATAGTGCCAGCCAGATCAAGCTTGAACATGACGCTATATAAATACCATTTGATCCCATATGTAATAAATGTCGCACCAGATTCAAATTCACGCCAATTATTCATTTTATGAGCTGAGACTAGATCACTATTAAGATCTGGAAAGTTATTTTGTTAATCCATCATAGGTCATAAGACATAACCATTCTTTGTGATTCTTTGAGTATCTTTTTTGCACCTTCATCTTATTCATGTATTATTGGAAACGAAACAAAGTATTTTCATCACTATTTGTTCCTGTTGGGTAAGATGAAAACAATAACACAGTCAAAAAACATAACGCTTTCACTACTGTTTTTACATTCGTTAGACGTTACCGTTCGTTTTCATTTGCGTTCACTTTCATTACGTTCACTTTCATAACGTTCATTACTTCATTTTCGTTTGAATTCTCTATCAATAGCGTTTGCTTATAATTTCGTTCCCTTTCTTTTGCTTTCATGAGATTTTATCTTCAAGCGTGAGGATTACGTGATCCATGCACGAGGGATGTCGCGAGACTTTCGGAAAGCGTAAAAATACTCGAGCCGCAGGCGAGTGTATTTTTACGCTTTCCGAAAGTCGAACAACATCCCAAGTGCATGGATCACGCTGTCCTGCTTGGAAAACCATTTCAGTAATTGTTTTATAAAATAACTACAGTGAAACGATGACATTTTGAGAATCCCGCGAAGGTATTATAATTCCTCGTGCAGGATAGCCTGATCCTGCACGGCTATTGACCGATCAAATTGCGTGTTTCACTGTAGTTATTATATAACTTCTTTTCCTAAACGTTTTAGAAAATCTGCCTGCAAGAAAAAATTATTTATTTTTTGATGTGCCTGCGACCCTCGGTCCCAGCGGTCCCGATTTTATCGACCCCTAGGCCCTGTAGCTTTCAGTAAGCTTTCAATGGTGATCTTTTCCATTTTGTTCACATTCATTGGCAACCCCTTTCATAATTTAAATTAAATTTGCTTTCATCTCCTTTTGCTTACAGTACGTCCGCTTTTAATTACCGTTCGCTCCATTAACGTTCGCGTTCACTTTGCATTATCTTTAATTAGCATACCCTTTTATTGTGTCCTCTTTGAGTAGCGTTCTCTTTCATTATAATTTTATTTTGCCCTCGGAGATATAAAAGGAGTTAACTAAAGTTTGTCTGAGCTTGTGATATCTGTGGCTTGCAAGAACAGGAATGAAAAGGCGGAGGAAAATAAAGTAGTGCGAAACTAATACAAGAAAGATAATAGTCAGGGGTCAATGATGATTAATGGACCACTGTACCCTGGTTGCCAGAGGTTCTTGTATCTTCTGCCCTATGATTCTCACTCTAATTTATTTCACGCGATACGAGTGAGAATGATAGGGCCGAATCGCCGAGGATGCAAGAACCTCTGGCAACTGGTCAGGGTAGGACTACTGAAGATTCCTCAACTTATCTAAATAACCCTTCTGATGCTCATCGTATTTTTATCCTTTGTCTTTACCAAAATATTTGATTACAGGATTCTCAAGTGCAGTTTTTGTCGTTTAAATCTACTGAGAAACTTGAGAATATCCAGTCTCAGCTAACAAAAGGAAGGTAGGAATTAAAATGTAATAATTATCAAACGTGTGTATATGGATCGTTGTCTTCGCGAAGTATATTATGCAATCATGCATAGTTAATATTTTAATGCCCTGGTTACCTTGTCCAACCATTTGATGTCTAAGAAATTCTTCTTAAAATTTTATATGTAGAAAAATGATCAACGCAGTACGTCTTGGTTTCAATTTATTTCGTTTGATCAAGGAAGAACAACAGCGGAAGGTCAGTATCATGTACACAAATCTTTAGCTTTATATGAACTGTAGTCGCTTGATTTTAAAGGATTTTTTAGTTGTAGTTAACTTCTACAAGATGTACATACTATTATCACTTGCACTGCCAATTTATGATGGTGGATTAAGGTATGATTTATTTTCAATGTTTCTTAAGTTTACATTCTTGTATTTCGTTGTCCAGGCAGATGAGGCTGAAGTTGCGCGACAACGTAAGCTGGATGATGCGAAGAACAGCATGAAAATTATTTCTCCTTCAGAAAGTTCAGACGAATCTGACGATGAAGAAAATTTAAATGTCAAGTTGTACGTGTCAATTATGTCATCTTGATCTGAACAGTAATTTTTAGCCCAGCTGTGAAAACAGGGTCTTTTTTAACTATATAACTGGGGGGGCAAAGCCCAGCCCCCATGGTGGCCCCTCCTTCTACCATTTTCCCCCCTTCCGGTCAAGGTCCCTTTTCTCTAAAATATAAGCAAAACATTGGAAGAAAAATGGAATTTAGAAGGGAGGTTTGATATCCTTGTAACTGAACCTTGCTTTGTGAATCGTCTGTCTTTTATCTTCAAATTATTTGAGTAGTGTTTTTTAGAAATGCTAAAAATTGTATTGTAAATACCTCAGTCTTAGATTTCAATAATTTCCCAGTGAATAGCATATCCCATACCCTATGGATTTGAGTTGTTTGAAGGCTAGGCTGAACAAGTTAGTGACTGACATACCATGCAAATACTTAACTGAACATTCAGTCTATTCTCAGTATAATGTGACGCTGTATATCCAAAAATCTGTTTCAGAAAACGCACGAATTGCAGTCCTAGGGGTGGAAAAATACGAAACTTTTTTGGGGAAGAATGCCCCCCAGACCCCCGTCTTAAAAAAGGAGGGAAAAACTGCTTCAACAGCCATTTTCTAATTCTGAAACAAGTTGGGTAGATCTGGCGGATATGCTCAGCACACACCAGAATTTTCTACTACAGCAGGAATTTTGGCCTAATTTCACTATTAAATATTTGACAAATTAATTTAGGTGCATGTGTATAACAAGGGCGTCAATCTATCCCAAAAAGTGGGGGGGGGGACGGACTCCAAACTATGAAGGTCCGGAGGTACTATGCTACCCGAAATTTTTTTGTAAATTTTGGTACACTGAAACGGCATTCCCAGCGTTTTGGAGGCACTTGTAAAGTTATATTACAATGTGCATGATCTTAAATCCATGTGAGAAATGTGAGAATGTTAACCATGTGAGAAATACTCTAGAAACCAACATGTCCTAGCCTGTGAACAATTTGTACGTTACTCTCGATGAACATGTCCTCACTCTTATTTTATAAGGATAATCATCTATGTAAGGGAAACTCAGTTAATCAATATTTAATAGCACCTGGAAATTTACATATAACTTCTCTTCAGTGGCGGACACTTTACGAAATATTGGGGGGGGGGGCTCGTGCCGAAGGCACGGAAAATTTTAAAATTTGGATCCCGGAAATGGCATTTGCAGCATTCTGAGAACACATTTTGTAAAAAACTAGGTTTTCAAAACACTGTTTTAATGGTCGGCATTCAGTTATGAATCACATGCTAAGCATAGAAAAACAACATTTCAGAGAAAATATTTACATGATTATTAACATTTCTGAATGGAATTGCATGTAAAAATTTATTCGCTAAGTGAGTGAAATTTATTCGCTGCATGCGCACGCTTTTGTTTTTGTTAACATAATTAAAATTGGAATGTTAATTGAATTATCCGTTGTTTTTGAGCATAATAGTTTAATACGCATTCAAATATTATTGTGCAGCAGAAAATAAAATAATAATAATTATATAATTTTATTTTATTTTTATTATTATATAATTTTTTCGCTGGTAAAGACTAGTATAAGCTTCAAAAACAACAAAAAATCGACGTCGACATTTAAAGAAGTGCGGCCTGTTGCAAAAAGTTGACCTCCTAGTATCCGTCAAAAAGAATGTATAAAATGCGTATGTTGGGTCATGTGCAGTACAGAAACGTATATTATTATATTGTTTGGTATATTGCTTACTGTTTTAGCTTAAGTTTTATCAAATAGTTATTATTTAATATGACAATTACGTTATATGAGTGTGATTTGTGTTATTTGGTACAAGATTTTTACAGTCTTTAAAAATTATTTGGGGGGCTCGCCCCCCCCCCCTCGCCCCCTCCCCTAGTGTCCGCCACTGCTTCTCTTCATTAAATATTACATAATATGAAGGTGTAAGCTAACTGTAATAACCTTGTAGGATTAGACGATTAGGATTAAAACGCAATTATTTTTAAGTATTTACAATTTTACATATGAGATATCAGTACTTGCTCCGAGCGGCTACAGAAAGATCATACGTTGTACTTCTTATTAAATGTCTTCCTTTCGATCACAATTTTTGATGAACAGCATACCATGCATTAGGTTTTTAGATAACCAAGAAACAAAATTTCATTAAACATGTCAAAAAGTGGGGTGGGGGGGATAATTAGATATTCGTCCCCCCCCCACTCCAAAAACTGGAGGGGACGCGTCCCCCCCTCATCCCCCCCCAGGATTGACGCCCATGGTGTATAACATCTGCCGTACGCGATTCTTTTCAAACTTTGGACTTCTTTACTAGCTATTTCGAAATGTTCTCTTTAGCTAGACCATTCTGGCTAGAACAGTTGTTTTGATGTGGTGAAAATTTAAAAATCAACCACTACTTCGTCTTATCGTGAAACTCGTCTATTATTAAAAGTGCAAGTTTTGAGATATTTACTTTTGTTGTTTTATTTACTGTAGTGTTGTCAATGACGAAAGAAGTGATCTGAAATCATCTCAGCATGATGATGGAATATCTGCGGATTATTTAAGTTTGTTTCACTTATCTTTTCTCCTACTTTCAGTTTTTTTTCAAACTCATTCTGTTTAACTATATTGTAATGAAGAAGTTTTAAACTCATTCTGTTTAACTATATTGTAATGAAGAAGTTTTAATAATTTTGCGGAATACGATAATCTTTTGTTTTAATTAAAGGTGCAGACACAAATTTTGAAACATTTACAAACGAAAATTACTCAAGGAGCACATTGTAAGTATAGAATACATGCATTATTCATGCCAAGACTTTCTAGTGATATTTATATTGAAATAGATGTTACCGTAAGCAGTAAGCATAAATGAATATAGTAGTGTTGACTAAACACAGCATGAGCTCCACCTTTGAATTTACTATATGAGTAAATTCTTAAACACGTCCGAATTTATCATTGTGATAAATTCGCGGCACATTTTGAATTTACCCTAATAATAAATTCGCGGCACCTAACACTAACCCCAACCCTAACCACTAACCCTAACCACTAACCCCTAACCCTAACTTTTTAAACTTTTTTGAAAATCTAACTTTTTAAACTTTTTTTGCTTTTTAAAACTCTTTTAAAACTTTTTTAAAAACTATTCTTTTGAAAATCATCCCGCTCCCGCGCGACCAGCCTCCTTTTTAGTGCCATTAGATTTATAACAAAAAGTCTTGTCTAATGCTTGTGCTTTTATGATTAACTCTATTGATAAATTCACAATTTGCCGCGAATTTATCATAATGATAAATTCGGACGTGTTTAAGAATTTACTCATATAGTAAATTCAAAGGTGGAACTCATGTTGACTAAACACGGTGCTATTTCTGTAGTTACACCATTATTTATGGTTTGCAAAACAAAAATATTTACAACAAATCTGTCTAATTATTTCACTGAACAACATGAAGAAGTTGATTTTTCGCGCATTTTTAGTCGTTTCCTTGCCCGTGAAGTACAAACACATTACTGAAATACTTAACTACATAATTTATCCATATTTTTACGGTCAGGCAAACTCCTGCAGTTTCTCTGAAATCAAGAAGTACAGAAAGACTATATTCCAAGAAAAAACCACGTAGTTCATCAATACGTCCATATTCACCAGTTTATTCTAATATCAGCTATCCAAACTTGGACGCCAGGTAACATGTTGTGATAAAATGTATAGTTTTTCATGATTTTTCATCATCCAACATTAATATTCATCTCAAAATCTGGTATCTTTGGCTGGCAGCCAATATTTTCACACCCTCAAATATAAAAACCTTATATCCTCAGACTGAAATATACGTCAAATCAATAGTTATGAAATGATATTATGTTTAGAGAGAGTTTATACTTCGTCATTTCTCTGCTCTCAATACATGTTACGATATTGATATTTTGTTAAGAGATCTCGAAAGTTTATTTCGTCATTTTTGCTCTTAATACACATTGCGCTTATGCAAACTTATGATACTGATATGTGTTTCAGAGAGAGTTTATTCCGCCAATTGTGTGCGGTCAACTGGATCCTTGATGCGATGTCACAAGATGTATTTCCTCCTGTTGTTGTTCCCATTACAAATTGCTGGAATATAAAGTATGTTGTGGTGAATGTAGCCCGCGTGCAGGCCCAAGGGAACTGATAGTGGGCCTGCAAGCAAGGCCCGGTATTTTGTAAAACGCCCCTTTTCATAACACGCCCCATTCGCGCGTCAATTGTCAAAAAGGAACCAATGACAGCACCCAAATATTAACAAACAAACTCACATTAAAATGTTGCGGGGTTTTCTCGGCATAGTACAAAACATGGACTGGACTGGACTGGACAGTTGGACTGGACAGTTGGACTGGACTGATTTTTACATTTTCTCTATTCTTGACTTGCATAGTTGCATGTCAGCCACCATGTCAGGTGGCATGGCACAAAAGAATATTTTAGCACAAAATAGATATATAATGTCATGTCTATTTTGTGATTTTATCGATGAACATCGTCTGGTGTGTACCAGGAGGAGATTGGTTTCAAGTCAAGAATATAATGTTTTGCACCTGAATTACTTTTGATTTTTGGAAATTGAAAATACTTTACCTTCCCCGATGACCTCACTTTATAACTGGAGTGAAATCTCTTAAAGCGAAAGAAACCCCAGTAAGGGGTCGATCATTTAACTTTTGGGGGAGGGGGATTTACTGCTGGAAGGGAATTTTTTTTTGGGATCGTTGTGTGCAAGATTTTTTTCCCTATCCCATCACCATGTACGATATTTTTTTGCCACTCTCTCTTTCACAGCATTTTTTTCAATAGCTTATACTATTTAGATTCTTTAATTTAATTTAATAATAGTTAACGTTGAGTTTTGTAGCTTCATGCATTGCTTTTAATAATACATATTGCTATGAGGTACAGGGCCGCCGAGAGAATTCGCGGGGGCCGGGGCAAATCTTCCCTGGGAGCCCATGACATCATTATTTTTAAGCTAGACCCAACTAGAGCTTAGCTATAGACTGCATGTGGAGCTACTGTAAGGGGCCCTCAATTTCAAAAATTCTCTGACCAATTTAAAGAACCTGCTCAATTTTAGGCTCTCGCTCTCAAGTTGGGGCCCTATTAAGGTGGAGGTCCGGGCAATTCCCCCCCCTGCCCCCCCTCTCGGCGGCCCTGATGAGGTATAAGATTTGGTTCAGGGCCTCTTTACAGATGTGTAACTGGAGGGGACATATTTAGCGGGGGGGGGGGGCTGGAGAAGTTCCAGTCGGCAAGTCTGTATCACTGCAGCTACCAGCATATATATGCATGGTTTAACTAATAAGTATACGTTACAGGGCAGCAGATCAGGCCAATATTAACTAGGATTCTGAGACAACCGTGTCGACCACCGAAGGTGCGAGCCTCAAGAGGGGTATGGGGGCATGCCCCCTCCCCCCCAAGAAAATTTTGGATTTCGTGAAGCTCAGATAAGCTATTTCAAGCATTTTGAGGAGTTTTCCAAAAAGAAATTAACCTTACACTAGTCTCCAAAAATCAAACCAGCTGATCTTCTGGGACTGGTCAAATCGATCCCTGCAACCATGCTGTTTTGCAACATTTTTTCTCACCAAATACTGGGCAGGATATCCCCCCCCCCCAGTTTGTTATTGCAGGCATTTTTTTTTCAGAATAGCCTTGCAGGAAATTTTTTTTTCAAAATTACCCCCTCCTCAAAGGTTAAATGGTCAGCCTCTAAGTTGAATAGAATACAACACCAAACATAAACTACTTATAGCCTGCGGGTAGCCTGCTCGGATACGT